GACATGTCCGGCTTTTTGGGTTTTCCCCCCGGACGGGGATTTGGAGCCCAAAAAGCCGGACATGTCCGGGAAAAGCCGGACGTATGGTAACCCTACAGGAGGCAGAAGCTTGGTCCTGCGGCAGCCACGCTCCCCTCCCCCCATTTCTTCCCACAATGTGGTGCATTCCGGCCCCTCCTCTTCCCAGAGGAGCAGAACTGAGCATAGCATGCTGGCTGCTCTGTAGAGGAGGCAGAGAGAGGTAGGGACGGGCCTGGGGGAAGGGGGTGGAACAGGTCATATGCCTCCCAGCCCCCTGCCATGAGCCGCTCAGGGCAGGGGGCTGGGAGCACCCCAGCCTTCTGCCCTGCACCTCCCCACCCCAACACACACCCATCCCTCTGCCCTGACCTTGAGTTGCCCCCAACACCCAGCCTTCTGCCGTGCACCTCCACACACCCCCAGCCCTCTGCCCTGAACCCCCCCCCAGTCTTGTGCTCTGCACGTCCACACACACTAGCCCTCTGCCCTGACCTCGAGTCCCCCCCAACACCCAACCATCTGCCCTGCACCCCCCCACACTCCCAGCCTTGTGCCCTGCACCTCCACCCACCCCAGCCCTCTGCCCTGACCTCGTGTCCCCCCCAACACCCAGCCCTCTGCCCTGACCTCGCGTCGTCCCTCCCCCCCACCCCAAACACCCAGCCCTCTGCCCTGAACCCCCCACCCAGCAGGCTGAGCAGGCTGGCGGCGTAAGATCAGCATTTTAATTTAATTTTAAATGAAGCTTCATAAACATTTTGAAAACCTTGTTTACTTTACATACAACAATAGTTTAGTTATATAATATACACTTAGACCCTTTCTAAAAAAACATTAAAATGTATTACCGGCACGCAAAACCTTAAATTAAAGTGAATAAATGAAGACTCTGCCTACCACTTCTGAAAGGTTGCCTACCCCTGGTATAGTATATGATCTATTTATTTTAATAAGAGCATTGAGGAAATAGGATAAGCATTATTATCCACTTTTAGTAAATTTCTACTGGAATGGCAGACATGGCTACATTTTACTATTATAAATGCTGTCTAACGTGAAAGCTGCTGTGGCTTTAAGTATTGTAAATCTTATGCTACAGAGAGTTTAGCTGACCTATCAGAAAGGTATGTTAGCCGTTTGTGGTCTTGAATAGTAACAGGGCAGCTGTAATAGAACATCTCAAAGGTTGCTTTGACCTGAGAAGCAGAGACTTCAGAAGCAGCACAGGTTAAGTAATGTCATCTTTCCACTTTCAATCATCAAGAACAGATTGTTTAAACAGGACTGAAACTTGGAATAAAGTGAGTAAAAAAAAAATCTAAGTAGAAATGAAACTTGATTTAATCTTAATGCCTGGGATTTGTAGATGTGAAGACCCCACCTACTACATACAAAAGCTTCCTGTATTCCCAATAAATTTACCATTAAAAGGAGAATTGAACAATACAATAAGATGAAGAGGGACATTGCATTAGCTGCAGTTAATTTGACTTAACTTGACCTAAAACAGATGCTACTCGGAGTCATGAAAATTTTTCAGGACAAAAAGGTAAGTTGCAATGTTACAGGGAGGTAGGCTGAGTGTTGAAAAGTGCATTTCCTAATATGCAGAAATGGTAAACGTAAGTGTTTTGCAATATTTAATAGAAAGGTAGTATGCCTAGCAATTTAAATCACAAAAGTCTTTTTTGTTTCACGATATCATAAATAATTCTGAAAGATTTGTACATTGAATGAGTGAGTAGCTTAAAATAACTTTTTACAGTGAAAGGAATTGGTTTAGAGCAGGGGTAGGCACCCTGTGGCACTCATGCCGAAGGCAGCACGTGAGCTGATTTTCAGTAGCACTCACACTGCCCGGGTCCTGGCCACTGGTCTGGGGGGGCTCTGCATTTTAATTTAATTTTAAATGAAGCTTCTTAAACGTTTTAAAAACTTTATTTACTTTACATACAATAACAGTTTAGTTATATATTATAGACCTATAGAAAGAGACCTTCTAAAAACCATTAAAATGTATTACTGGCATGCAAAATCTTAAAGTAGAGTGAATAAATAGAGACTTGGCACACCACTTCTGAAAGGTTGCCAACCCCTGCTTTAGAGTTAACCAAAAAATTAATGCTTTAAAAGTAGAGCTTATTAATAGATACAAATATCAGATGATTAAAACCCATTATCTAGAGCACAGAGGCCCCTGCATACATCTTTTAATCAAAAGGTTAATTGGTTTCTGTTTTGCCATTCACCAATGTCAACCATATTCATTTATTTAAAAGATGATAGTTACAAGTTTTGAAAGACAGTGTAGATGTATAACACTCTAAGGCAGCCAGACATCCTTCAGAGGAATATCAGTTCAGTGCTTGGCTTCCCAGGTCAGCAAAACTGTTCAAAGCCATTTAAATGAAAGTAAAATCCAAAGACCAATTATCTGACTGTTTACATATGTAGATTGTGAGAAAGATGGAACAGTACCTACATATCTTTCCTACAGCTTCTCCATATTGATCAATAAATAAGTCGTAATTTCCCTGTGGTGGATGTGCAATAAGGGTGGGATTTTCAAAAAGCAGCTGGGTAACAAGTACACAAATAAATAAGAATTATACTTGTAAACTACACAAGCACTTGAAGATACTGTAATTTCATCACAACTGATAGACATTTTACAGAATAACCCACAAAATTTGAATATTTCACAAACAAGTTTTCAAGTAATGCATGTGCATATTGACTAACTTAAGTGAAAGTTGAAAAATGTTTGCTTTTATTAATATTGGGACAAATTTCACATTGCCAATCTTTTAGGACCCTTTATCACCATGTATCCCCCTCACCCTTCCAAGACTGGCCAACCACACTGTTTCATTATGAGCTTTAAGACTGTTTAGATGTGAAGGTTTGAGGCTTCTAACCCCACCCACACACCCCCTCAAAAAAAAAAAAAAGTGACATTTTCAGGTGAATATGTGACTGACTGGGGATATATACAAGCCTAGCAATACAACATAGTCAGGGCAGATGCAGTCCTGCCAGCTTTCTCCATTTTGTTCTGCTCCACAACTGCTTGTTGTTAGAGATGTCAGGCCTAAAAGACTGCTAGTTCGGTGTCATGAACCAACCACAAGCAAGCTCAGTTTTGATGGAGAAGGAGGTTAGTATATTAGGCCAATGGCATCTTCCACCAGTTGAATTAATAGTGTAACTAATTTAATTAATTACAAATTCCACAACCAACAATAATCCTTCCTTACACTGATCTGAGATATCAAATATACACTTTTCCACAGTGGCAATAGCTAATTTAAGTGTAAGACATTCTTCTCTAACAGCTTTATTATTTGAGATATTACCTGCTTTAGAAAGACTTCACTTCAGCCACTTTCTGCATTTTCTAGTTACAATACAGAAAGCGTGACCAGTAGATTCTCTCTGCTCTAAAACATGTAATATTAGAGTATACTTTTTCAAGGATCTTTGACCATTATTAAAAAGGGTGTTGCTGTATTTTTTGCTCATCTGTACTAATTCATTTTGCCTAGGAAGCTAGCTAGAATTAAAATGACACTATAGAAGTATGTTTAGATTTAAAGTAAATTAAGCAGAGAAACTTGAGCTCTGTGGTTGACTCCACTTACATAGCTGATTCTTAGACCACATGTCCCAGTCCATGATAAAAATTATTGAAATTTTGTCTGAATTAGGGGAAAAAACTACATGTAGCTATACTTTGAACTACAATAGCATTTACAATGTAAAATAACTGGCATAGTACTTCCTATGTGGGGAAAAAATTCAGTAATTCTGTAAATCTAAGAAGAATTCACCATAGTACTAGGCCAAATGCAGAGGTGATCTATACCCAAAGGAAGTATAAATTAGACAATGATCATAAGTAGGTGTAACTTGAATTTTTTTCAGCTTCTCAGCATGCAAGTTAGAGGAGGGGAGGGATAGCTCAGTGGTTTGAGCATTGGCCTGCTAACCCCAGAGTTGTGAGTTCAATCCTTGAGGGGGCCACTTAGGGATCTGGGGCAAAATCAGTACTTGGTCCTGCTAGTGAAGGCAGGGGGCTGTACTCGACCTTTCAGGGTCCCTTCCAGTTCTATGAGATAGGTATATCTCCATATATTATATAAATAGGGTGTGGCCTAATAAGCCTGGCATTTCTACACCATTCGGCTGCACTTTTTCCAGTCCTTATACACCCTTGGATTCAGTGGGCCAAAATCAGAGGTGATGTGCCCAGGGACTTTATTCAGTATCAGAATGTTACAACTAAAGTTGTACCTTTTTACTCACACACATACACACAGAACCCACACACATCAGTGTGCCATCATCTGAGAATGCCCTAGGCAATGGTTTAGTTAAATGAACCAAATGATCTGGACAATTACCACTGCATTTATTTATTTTTTTATAAAATGCTTTTGCAGGGAAATTTCATTAGAAACTGTAGCTACAAAAATATAAAACAAGTATAAAACAATGTATATTTTTACATATATTACTTGTAAGCCACATAAAATACAAGTTATTTACAGGTACAAATATTTCAACAGTGCAAATGCTTTTTCTTTGATTGCCAGCATTGACTGAGCATGGGGGGGGGGGGGGGGGGGGGGGGGGG